AACCTTACACTTGTTAATTTCTGCATCACCTGTCCTCCCCCAGACCTTTCCACATGCCCTCTGAGAGCACACCTGGTTGAATTGCTTACTGTAAATCTCTCTCATAGACTGGCAGGTACTTAAGAGCAGAGACCATGCCTGAATTACATTAAAATTTGCAGCCCATCCAGCAGTGCTGTCATCCTTGACTCCTCTTTTCCCTCATATACCACATCCCATTCATCAGCAAGTTCAGATGGCTCTACTTTCAAAAGTTCTTTTGATTTTGATGACCTCTTCCCTCTTCTACCCCAGGGACTTTAGTCCAAACAAACTCCCACCCTCTCTTCCCATGAACTACTGCAACAGTCCACTCACTGATCCTTCTGCTTCCATCCCTCCTTGCCACAGCTTCCTTCCCACACAGCAGTCAAATGATTCTTTTCTTAAAACAAGTTAAAAATGTATAAATCATATATTCAAGAAAGCACTGATACCCACAAGATAGAAAGAATACTCAAAACTCAACAGTAAGAAACACAAAAGTAATATAAGAAGTAAGTGATAACAGACCTGAACAGACACTTCACCAAAGAGGATAGAAGGATGGAAAATACACATGTGAAAAGATATTCAATATTGTTTGCCATTAGGGAAAAACAAATTAAAACCATAGTGAGAAACCGCTACGCTATTAGGATGGCTAAAATTAAAAAATGCTGAACCCGCCAAGTGCTGATAGGAATACAGAGCAACAGGAGCTTTCACACATTACTGGTGCGGATGCAAAATGTTATATCCACCCTGGAAAAGTCTAGCAGCTTCTTATAAAGTTAAGTGTAAATTTACCATCTGTCCTAGCAATCCAACACCTGGGTATTTATCCTAGAGAAGTAGAAACTAATGTTCACATGACAACTGAAACACCAGAATATAAGATCCAGGATGATAGAGACCGTGTCTGTCCTGTTCACTGATAAATCCCCAGCACCTAGGATGCCACCTACCACAGCATAAGAACTCCACAAATATGTGTTAAATGGATGAATCAATAAACCCAAGAGGTGAACGTTCAGTGATGAAGTTCCCAGGGCTTTGAACATGGAGCCCCACTTTGGCTTCTCTGCAGTGTCCCTCAGATCATCTGCCCACGTGGCCCCTGAATAAAGCAGCCCCAGCCTGAATATTTAATTCAGCTTCTGGGGCCTGAAAAATGGATTAAGCTCAGAATCTCTCTTCTGAGTGCAGCTTTCTGGCGCCTGCCTGGGTAACTGGCACGAGGAAAAGCCAGGAAGGCAAAGTAAGACTGCAAGCAAATACATTCTTAGAGAAGCGTCCCAGGAGCATTGCTGAGGGTCTGTGGAACTATCAGAAATGCTACTATGAGCTGGGGGGTCAAAGAATTCTGAGGTGAGCCTGCAGCAGAAAACGCCACCTTTGCGGCACCGCTCCACGAGAACAAATACATTAGCACTTGCAGAACACCTGCTCTGAATAGGTTCCAGGCACTCCCTAAAGGTTCTTGTTTAATCCTGCATCCACCCTTCACAGGAAGGTCTACTGATCTCACTTTCCTAAGCGAAAAAAATCAAACAGAGAGGTTAGTTAACATATGCAGTGTCACAGGATGACAGGTAGTGGCTGGTGTTTTGAACTCAGGTCTGTGTAGTTTCCAACCTAGTTATCTTTCCACTTTGGACTTTAGAAGCAGTACTCAGGGGCATGGGGGTGAGCACGGAGCACAGGAGCCAAACATGACATGTCAACCTGGACACAGGTGACCAGCTTCTCTAAAACTCTTCAAAGACCAGCATGAACGAGTTTGCTAAAGCAAGATGCTGATTTCCTTCTGCTGAAAATGTCTGGAGCATCTACTCTGTAACAGTTCCTGGGCTCAGGCTTCCCACATATATTATCTCATTTAATTCTCATTATCATTTAAAAAACCTGTTAACACATGGGAAGGTATCAGTGGCTGTTTATCCAAACAGAATGGCATAAACCCTGCAAGCAAGCATGAACACCTGAGCATTCTCTACCTCCCACGCCAAGCCAGCAAAATTCTACAGTTACTTAAAGACAGAACAGTAAGATGACTCAGACAACTGCTTATAGACTTTATTTCGCTACTTCTTTTAGGCCAGGTCAGTATTTTACACATTGGTTAGAAGAAGGATTACTGTTGAAGGTTGCATATACAAACACCACGTGTAATGGAATTTTTTTGGCAATTAAAATATTTTCAAGGGTATTCTTAGCTATGAATGATTTCCACCCCATACTATGGCTTTGGCCCTAAATGAATGAGTAAGATGCTACTCTGCTGTGGCCAGGCCTCCTCTCATTTACTCCTGCTTGACACATACTCAAGGAACCTTAGACCTACAAGGGAAGCTAGATGCTACCAAGTGCTACTTTGCAGGGCAGCAATCCCTAAAGATTACCACCCACTACTGATGACAGGGGCGAGGAAGGCGGCCTTTACCCACTGGACGGCTCCCACTACCCACTGGACAGCTCCCACTGTCGGTACTCTTTATTTATCTGCTATCTGCTGCCCTCCAACTTCCACCCCTTGCTGCTAGCTTTGCTCAAGCTCTGCAGAATAATTATAACCCCTCTCTCTGTGATAATCATCACGATGTTTACAGCCTGGTATTAGGATGGTACTTTCGTAACGTTACCATGATCAAGAAAGCAGTTGAGAATCCACACTGCCCTTTTTAATCATTACTTGGTGGTTTTTATTTCTGGGTGTACATCTCTGCACATCCAAGATTTTAACACCCACCTCCCCAAGAGGCAGCTCCACCAATTAATTAAGCTCTACATTTTGGGAAACATGCAGCAAGGGTGGGAAGACAAAGAACAGAGAGCACGTGTCGTGCGGCAAGTGTCGTCACAGTGGTATAAACGAGGCAGCAGCCACACACAGAGAGAAAAGGCCAGAGTGGCAGCCATCCCCTGGGAAAGGCCACGGACCTGGGAGCCAGATCCTCATGGAACACAGCTTGCATCCCAGCTCCTCAAGGAAACCGACCAGGTCTCAGACTCGGCTTGCACAGCAGCCTCCGTTTGTGTCTCGGACACAATGCCAAGCACAGAGTAAGTGTTCAGTGAGTCTTACTCTAACCCTTTGGCACGTGAAAGGGGCATAGAGGTGAGAATAACTAAATCCAAATGATCCCAAAGCTCTCAAATGAAGGTTTTACAAAAATCTCATTAATAATAATACAATTTCACACGACAAATGAAGGAGTGCTGCTTTCCACCCTTTGCCGGTCCATCCACCCACTGACAGGGATCAAGTCACCTAACTTCTCTGGTCCTCCATTTTCTCAGCTATAAATTGAGGAGCCTGGTCCTAAAGATTGTTAAGGTCCCTTTCAGGCTCAGGATGCCCTAATCTTCTGCTGTGTCATTTATTAAACTGGATAATCCATGTTAATAAAGCTGAACTGGTCAGTCAATCTCAAAATCAGGGCTGATTTCTGGCAAAAAGAAGAGCACACAAGAAAGCAAAGGTAGGTAAAGATTCCAGTTGCAGCACCTCCATCATCCTGGCACTCACTGCCGCCCCAGGACAAGCACCTACCTGCACAGGTTTAAATACCTGTCTCACCATTTACTGCGTGATGATCTTAGGTCAGTCACTGAATCTCCTTGAATTCAGCCTTGATTTCCACATCTGTGGAGCGGAGTTAATTCCACCTAGCCCCAGGGTTACCGGGCGATGAGATGAGTTAAACGTGTGTAAAGTCCCCTCCCCCAGAGGACACATGCTGCACAGCCCTTTATTCACTTTTTACCATCCAACCGAATTAGGAGACAACCTCAGACTCCAAAGGTTTCTCACAATCCAAAGCACAGACAGCCAGAGCTAGAAAAGCTCTAAAAGTCAGCTGGTCCAACTCCCTCCTACCTTTGTGACAGACAAATGAGGGACCGAGGCTCAGAGCAGCACAGGGACTTACCCAAGGACCTACGTGCTCTTCAGCAGCAAAGTCTGAGCCAGAACACAGGGCAGCAGATGTCACGGGTCACACAAGACACAGAGAGAGAGAACCTCTGCAGGCTCCAGGCTCCCTAACGACACTGGGAACTCCCCACATACAACCAAAAGAGAAAAGTAACAGAACTTTTTATTCATGTATTTTTTGGAGGGCTGCAAGAGAGAAGTAACATCGTAGCTTGAAATGCAAGGCCTTTTTAAGTTACCTATGAGATAAGGGTCAGAGTTTCTTGACAGCACCTTTCCTGGTTACTCTGTTCCCTCTCCCTCCATTTCTACTTTTTTGGATTTACACTCTGAGGCTGACATGCCTGCATTTGGACCTTCTTTGGGCAAGGTGAGAAGCTTCAGGCTACCCATTAAACACAAACAAAACCATGACAACTGAGCTAACCAAAAACACAAAATGAATCCCCCCCAGCTTCCACAAGGGCTCCAGCCTGGGACCTGCGACAACTAGGATAGTGTCAAATTCACTAAGGCACACAGAAAAGGCAAGGGTCAGGGGCCCAAAGGTCCCCCTGGTGGACAGGAGCAAAATCCCTGAGATCACTCAGGTGTTTCTGGAGAAACCTCAGCTGAATGGAAGCACTGAAGAGAGAGCCCAGACAACATAAAGACAGGCAAGGGGTATAGCTAGTCCCAGGCAGACAGCCCTAGCGTGATGCTCCTCTGCTGCCCAAGATTCCTAGGGCAAAGCATTTATCTTCAGGGAAGGTCTGACAGAAAACTACACCGAAAGCATGCTTGCTTATAGCTCTGGGTCATCATTTTCCAGCCAGCATCTCCCAGAACTCAGAAGGCCCTAATCCAAGCCTCACACTGTACACCTGAGCAAACAGTCAGAGAGAGAGAGAGAGAGAGAGATTGTCCTGCCAGAAGCTCACACCTCATGCCAGAGCCATACAATGTAGGCTGTTGCCTGACCTTTAGTCTAGACCTGCTCCCTCCCCCTGCTCTGAGGATTCTCTCTGCCAGGCCCACTCTCTTTCCCAAACCCTGGGCTCACCTCCTGGTTCTGAGGATCCTGCCAGGTTGAACAATGCTCAGAAGCAGGTGGCAGTTTAGCAATTCATCCAGTGGGACCTCAGCAGGCCAGAGCAGCTGGGGCTGTACCCAACCCCAGTGGCAAGGACAGACTGCAGCGTGGAACTTTGAAAGGGCTCTCTCCTTCCTGAAAGACACCCCTCCTCCCCTTGCACATCCTTCTCCTCCTCCGTAGTACTACAGAGACATGTGCTCTGCTTGGGAGGAGGTAAGGAGGAAAAGTGCAGCTGTTTATTGGAAGGAGAAGGGCAACAATATGCCGAGCCGGCTACACATTCACACCTAGCAAAGAGGAATGGGGAAAAAATAGCTGTATCTGCTGCCACAGAATTATTAACCCTTGGGCTTCAGCTTCGCTCCTCACACAGCTGAAGCAGAGAAACAATATACTTAACCAATGGAGTGCCTGCCAAAGGCATTACATCATCAGTCAGCACTGTCATTGGCTAATAATTCCTAGAAGGCAACACTCTGCTTTCAGGTGCTTAACCCTATGTGTTCATCATAGCAATGACTCAGTATTCGGTTAAGCCGATGGTTCCTGGACCTTGCTATTATCAGGATCATCTGGGGTGCTTTCTAAATACACAGACTGCTGTGCTCCACCCCAAGCCATCCAAATCAGAGCCTTCAGAGGGAGCATGGAACTACTGATGTCTTGAGAAACTCTTCCTCTCTAAAACATGAACGAGACAACATTTCTCAGAGCAGTTACTATGTGCCCAATACTTCACTGCATCATCTCATTTATTTCCTACACTAAGCAGTGGGCATTATTGGCTCCATTTTACAGGTATAAAAAGTAAGGTTTAGAGAGATTAATTGGTTTGCTCAAGAGATGTAGCCTGGCTTTGAAAGCCAGGCTGTCTGGATCCTACCTGGGTACCACTCTGAAGCTCCCACTTGAAATCAAACCAAGCTTTTTGTCTACTTATTGCCTCCAGGATCATAGAAAACACAGACCCTCTTGATGAGCTGGAAAATGCCAGTAACTTCAGAAGAACTGGGGAATGAAGAGAATGGTGAATTCCCACAGCAGGTGTTCAGGGATCATGAACCCTCCAGAGAATCATTCTCTTTCTCAGGCTCCTCCCCTCTGTCTCTTCTGCAAATCCCAGCTTAGCTGTCACTTTCTCTAGGAAGCCACCTTCCACCCCCAAACTTGGGGTAGGAGCTTCAGGCTCCTAGGGTCCCCTGTATCAGTGGGCTGCTGCTGCTTGTTAACTGGGTAAATGCCACAAGACTACCGCCATCTCTGCATTCTCCATCAACATACACCCAGCACAGTGCCTGCCACGTGTGAGTGTTCAATCGGGATTCAAAGAGCACAGGAAGGAGGGAAGGAAAGCCTTTGCTGAAGTCCTCAATGGCATCACACCGAGATGGGAAAGGCAAAGGACTGGAAGCCAGGAGATCCACACGAACAAACTGTCTCACCTCAGACAAGTTCACTTTGGGGGACCCTAGTGTCCTCATATGAAAATGAAGACAAGAGCACCTTCTTTGTAGAAAGGTCTGAGGATCAAATTAAAGAATGATTCAGGCTGTGATGTGCCCCTCTGCACTGTCTCTCCATAGATCCCATCCATTCTGTTGGCTGACATCTAAACGCTGACAGCTCCCATACTGACATCTCCAGCCCAGAATTAGCCCCAAAAGAGCATGTGAATTTCCACCCATAGCCACCATGCTCCTCTCCCCATCTCCTCTACTCCTGGACTGGTGCTCCCATCCACCGAATCCTCCCCATGTAACTGAGGTGAACTTGATAAGCAATAAAATTAACTATTTCAAGGCATACAGTTCAGTGGCACTAGTACACTGATACTGTTCTGCAACCACCACCCCTATCTCGTTTCAAAACATTTTCGTCACCCCAAAAGGAAACTACTTACCCCTTAATGGTCACACCAACTGACCCTTCTTTCCCCAGGCCCTGCCAAACACCAATCTGCTTTCTGTCACTATGGATTTACCTTTTCTGGATATTTCAGAATCACACAGTATATGACCTTGTGTCGGGCTTCTTCCCTTAGCATGTTTTGTGCTCACCTGTAGTGTGTATCATTATTTCCCTCCTTTTTATGGCTGAATAATATTCCACTGTAAGCATGTACCACCTTTTGCTTATCCATTCAACTGTTGATGGACATCTGGCATCCACCCAATCTTAAACCATAAGCCGAGGGGTCATCCTTGCTTCTTTCCTTTCCCATATTCTGACAGCTAATGTATCAGTAAAATTACACCCAAAATGTAATTCCAACCCTACTTCTCTCCTACACCAATGCTAACCTGTAGCCAAGACAAAACCATCTCTCTCACCTAATTCCTAATTTGTGACAAGACCCCATTTTCTTCTCTCTATGCCACTTCTAGCTGCATAAACCGATGACTCATTCACTTTGGCAGAATTTACTAGGCACTTTTCTTCATGAAGCTTGACAAAAACAAACCAATATATACAAAAACAATAGGTCATTAAAATCCTGCAATGACTTTTCATTGCACTTTGAACAAAATCCCAGCTCAGCATGGCCTTCCAAGTCCCCATCTACTTCTCCAAACTCATCTCAGGCTGCTCCCCAATCACACTGGGGCCCATTCCTCCACTTCACGGTCCTTGAACAAGCTGTTCTCTAAGCCTTTTGATCTTGGCATTGCTGTATCTTTCTTATTCATCAGATCTCAGTGTAAATATCGCTCCTCAGCATGCCATTCCCTGACCACTCAGTTAAGTGGACCCACACTTCATCCATTTCATTCATCCAAGAAATGTGTGCTGAGTACTGTGCTGGGCTCTTGGGATAAATCAGTGAATGATTTCCTGGAGGCTTCAGTCCAGTGGGGTGGCCAATAAGAGGAAGTAAAAAACCAGATAAACAAGTGTCATGAAGGCACAGTAAAAGAGAGGGGGCCTGCTTTACAGAGGGTGGTCCAAATGGCCTTTTTGAGGATATTATATTGAAATAGAAGGATGAGAAGGAGTCAGTTGGGAAGAGGGCCTGTTACTCTCTATCATATCCTGGCTAGGCCAAGTGATGTTTTATCCTTCAACGTGTGCTTTTGAAGAATCAAAGCGTTTAACACCGTTCTCTGTCTCCCCTAGCACACCACACTGTATTCTCAGCACCTGGGACAGCACCCACCATTTAGAAGGTACTCAATTCACATTGATTGAATTAGTAACTGCATTAAAAATCGATTACTTAATCAATCCACCAATGAAATCACTTCATGGAGCACAACAAGTCATATAGTTTTGGCTGCTGCTGTTATTATTTTTTGGCAAAAGACACCTATTCTGTTAGGGTTTGGAAAAGACTAGGTTGAGTGTACAATGAAAATGAAAGCACCTCACTCTGAGTATTACCTGGACAGCAAGGAGAGAATGCATACACACAATAGGCACTCAACAGCGGGAAGCAGCACTCATTGTGGTCATTATTATTATAGGTTCTTTCCTTGCAAAAGATGATTTATTCAACTCAAACTCCCAAATCCATTTTCAGATGCAATCAAGAAAATCAAAGGCAAAGAGATGAACACTTTTCAAGTGCTTGCTCTAGAGCGGGGACAGTGCAAACTCTTCCTGTAAGTTTCCCATAGACTTCCCAAGCCCATCCTGTGAGGTGGCTGCTGTGGCACAGCTCTCATTCTCCCTGTAAAACCAAGGCACTCCGTACTCCCCCATGCCCAGCTGGCAGGAGTGTTGGCTGCCCCACAGCTCACAGCCAAGTCTCTCTTCAGGAACTATTTTGATGAAGGGACACCCAAAGTTGTGCACCCCACCCTGGGGGCAGCCTGCACCCACTGGTCAGTCAACACAGGGCTTCAAAGGCCTGGACCCCATGCCCCGGAAGATCATTGGAGGCCTCTGTTGCACTGAATCACAAACCAACTTCTTCCTCTGCCCAGTCCTGCTCCTCTCCCCTCAGCCCCTTGGAGAGTGACACCACTCCCCGGGAACCTCCCTACACACAATCTCAGAGTCTCTGAGACTTCTCCAGGGAATTTGACCTATGACAGGTAGGTGTGATGTTTTAAATGAAAAAACTGAGGTTCAGAAGGGTTGATAATGTCCCCCTACCACATAGCTAAAGTGACTTTCTGGTCTGACTCCCCATCAAGACCTTGCTATATCTACTAGAGCCTGTAACAGTTGAGATCATGCCTCTCTGAGATATAAAAGGGAACACAGGTAGAGGGGAAGGCCAGAAGATCAGAAGAGTGGGACAGAGGTACTTTCACAATCCTCCAGGAGCCATCTCTGATGACCAGATTGAGTTCAAAGCCTCCAGAAACAATATAAAGGTGACCTGTAGGTCGCAAAAGCAAGCATCCCAAAGGTGCCATCTCCCCACCTAAATCCATGCCCAGAGGCCAGGGAGCAGAGCCTCTGGGCAGACGGGGCTGCTTTCAGGGGCCTGAGTATTTGGGACCAAGTCCCAAATAATAACTACAAATTAAAGACCTTTCTACTGCTCCACCGCCATCCGTTTTCCAGAGCTGCCAGTGACTTGGTCACCGATCAGAATTTTTCCGCTGCCCTCATCATCCGAGCACAGAATTCTAAATATTCAAAGGCTGCATTTCAAGGTCTGTGAATGTTTTAGCCTCCATCCATCCTGACAGCTCATTTCCTACCTACAATAGGCCCTGGTCCTACCTGATTATCTGACGTAGGATTATCTGATGGGATACTGTACTTTTTCAATTTTTTACTTTGACACAAGAAAGTTCGTCTGGAATTCCAGCTCTCCCATCAGTCTGCCTCCCCCCCACCCCCACCAAACACACACAACACACACGTAAACACACAACATACACCGTTCAGCTTGGCAAACCCTTCCACTCCGCTAGTCCCCACTCATAGTCACCTCCTCTTCACAGCTTCCTGGCTGGCTCACGGTCCTCCTTCCCACCTCTTGTCCCTGGTACTGCAGTGCTCTGAAATCGTTCCTACTATCCGTAGCCCGGGGAGCTCCTCCAAGGCCCTTAGTGCCGCTAAGGCTTAGCACAGCGCCTGGCTAAACGATCCCACTAAATGCTGAATAGAAACACAAGGAGCTCTATCAAGTGCTAGTCTCCTCTGCTAGCTTGGTCAGGGAACCGCTCTCAGATTTCTTCCTGAGCCTCAGGATGCCTGGGAAGAGAGAACGGCCAGACAAACCTGACCCTCAGCCCTGGGGCAACAAGTCACGAAGGGGCGGAAGACCGCGGCAGAGCAGAAGTCCGGCCCCTGCGGTCTCCGGCTCCCCGCAGGCTCTTCCCGGGCCCCGGCG